TTCCTGCGAATATAAACCTACACCTTCGACTAATTAGATCTTTCATAGAGCTAATCAAAACTTCCATGCATTCTCAACATCTCATTTACTTGGGCGGCTAAATTTACTGACTTAATCAGACAGACTCCAGTGAAAAGTAATAGTACCTAGAAAATAACGCATTGTTGCAGATCCGAATTGAAGTGTTCTCGCACACAAACAAAAGTCCACATTTCAAACAAAGCGAATATACAGTGGATGTGAGCAGTGATGCAACAGCTGGACAGAATATCACACAAGTGAGTGCTGGTCTCGACGGTATTACCTACTCATTGGACGGTGCGTTTCGGCGTTTTGTTTTTGTTGACTTCATAGACATTTCGGCGTGATTCATGTGAGAGCGCTGTGGAACTTGAGCGACAGCATTCGGCGAATACTTTTCTGATGGTGAAACTCAAAATGATAACATCAAACATTTCGTTTTCATGATCAGCTGGGCTTTTCACTAGGATTTGGCATTTCCGTATGAAGCAATGAACTGTAATTGCTAATTGCAGACTCATTCTCGGGTCTCTTCGAAATTTCCAACGATGGCGTGGTCAGCCTCGGAAGGAAACCAATCAAATCTGAGCAGAATCGCTATCATATCATCAAAATAACGGCAACCAACAAGCAAGGCGAAAGCGCAACCACTACGGTATGTTCCAGATAGCCATCTGTTTCAGCAATGAATTGGGATCGTCACAATCGCTTACTCATAGGAAAACATCCCCACTTGTATTGAATCCTCTCTTCTTGTTTGCACGAACCTGATTGATTCCTAATTAACTGAACGAGTAATTTAGCTGAACGTATTTCTAAATGGTGAGAAGATCACAGTAGTAGCAACAACACCCTCTTCGGCATCAAATGAGCGATGTCATTTCCTGTCGAAGTTGTACAATGCACAAATTCGTGAGAATCAATTGGGAAGACACAAATTAGTCAAGGTGACATCGAACTGTGAGAAAGAGGGTCGACCAGTGGAATACGTTATCGCTCAAGGATCAGGTAAATTCTTCTAGCGAATCAATTTTACTTCCGCAATATCTCTTCCACTTTTTGAGTGGATTTCAAATTGTGTCGCCTGACTTTTAATCAAGTGATTGTTGTATTAATTCTATGCCGTCATTGTTGTGTATCCGATTGTGGTCGTAATTTTTTTCGACTT